AAAGATGGGGTTTCACCATGATGGCCAGGCTGGTCTTGAACTCCTGACCTCAGGTGATCCACCCACCTCGGCCTCCCAAAGTGCTAGGATTACAGGTGTAAGCCACCGCTCCGGCAAAAGCAGATTCTTATTGAACATGTGCAAACAACCAAATTGCCATGAATTAAGAATATTCACAAATAGTTTCTGAATTCTGGAGAAATCAGGCAGAGAGAGAAATAGTCCTCAAATTTTGTTTACAAGTGTATACTCAATTGTTGAAGGCTATAAATAACTCGAAGGAAAAAAGTTTCATAGAGACAGAAAATAGATTTCAAAAAAAAAGCTCTCCTGACTCAAAAACAAAAAGAATCAGCAATGTTTCAAACAAACAAAAAATAATAAGTTCAGTCTTGGAATAAATCTGTGTGTGGGTGTGGGTTGGGTGTTGGTGTGGGTGAGTGCCTGTTTATTCCATTTCTCTCTAATTCCATTTCTCAACTGCATGAATCCTTAACTCATGAAAGATAATTTTTATCCTCTTGGTTCCACAGTTAATGGAGAAAAAAAAGTCATCAACGGTGACTTCTAACATTGCTTAATATACTATATAATAAAATATTTTTTATTTATAATAGTACAGTCCGTGAAATCAACTCCTGCTCTGAGACATATTGGATAAATATATATGTATATAATTATGTATTTTATGAATACATCAGCCTTCTAATTAGCGTCCTAGAAGTTTTCACTCTGGGCCAATAGAACAATCTCCAAAGTTACCAGAAACTTGCATTCAAGAGTCCTTTTTATGAAGTCTCCCAAAGAAGCCCTGAACTGTAGCTGACTGTAAGCCACTTTCTGGAGTAGAATCAAAGCCAAACAATAATTGTGGATGGCAAAAGTCTTAGGACAACCATAGTTTAAAAAAAAATGGGCAAGAAAATTTGTTTATTTCTATGACATAAGACAAATGTACTTTTCTCAAGTTTTATGAGTGGGAGGGTCAGTTTCTATATGATAGCTTTGCTTGAATCCACTTAACTACAATTTGAATGCTGAGGCATATTGTGTTGATTGTATGGACACCATGGTTGCTATGTCCTGAGGACATGGTCACTCCTTGACTACCTATCCTGCTTCACTGGTATGTACTAAAAAGAGGCCAGTGATGCTGTTAAAGTTCTTAAATTGCACAGGATTTCCCACTGCAACCAAAAATTATCCATCCCACAATATCAATAGTGTCAAGACTGAGAAATTCTGGGTTAAAGGAAAGTAATAAGAAAGGATTAGGTAAGGGAAAGCAGATCAGAGTTTAGGACTCTAGGCTACTATAATGGTAGCTTTAAAACTTTCTTTCTTTTTTTCATTTTTTGTTGCCCAAGCCGGAATGCAGTAGCAAGATCACGGCTCACTGCAGCCTCTACTTCCCAGGCTCAAGCGATCCTCCCACCTCAGCCTCCAGAGTAGCTGGAACTACAGGTGTCTGCCACCACACCTGCCTATTTTTTTTTTTTTTTTTTGTATTTTTTGTAGAGACAGGGTTCTGCCATGTTGCCTAGGCTGGTCTGAAACTCCTAAACTCAGGCAATCCACCTGTCTTGTTCTTCTAAAGTTCTGGTATTATAGGCATGACCCACTGTGTCAGGCTAAAACCTTATTTATTGACTTATTCCCCTCTAATTCAACCTGTACACTAGAAACAACTTTCTTTTTCTAAACCCATTACTCTCATCTGTAAGATCACTTTTATTGTATCAGCCTTCCAAACTCATCCAAACTACAGCTGGGACATATCTAAATGTAATGCTTCTGCTTTTCTAGTTTCAGTTATTTCTCACATAGACAAAGACACATGCACAGAGCAACACTGGTATTAGAGGAGCATGGCATCTATATTAGTCTGTTTTCATGCTGCTATGAAGACATACTCGAGACTGGGTAATTTATAAAGAAAAGAGGTTTGACTCACAGTTCTGCATGGCTAGGGAAGCCTCAGGAAACTTACAATCATAGCAGAAGGTGAAACAGGCACATCTTACATGGTAGCAGGCGAGAGAGGTGAGAGCCAAGTGAAGGGGAAAGCCCATTATAAAACCATCAGATCTCATGAGAACTCAGTCACTATCAGGAGAACAATATGGGGGAAACTATCCCCAGGATTCAGTTTTTTCCACCTGGCCCTGCCCTTGCCACATGGGGATTATTAAAATTCAAGGTAAGATTTGGTGGGTTCACAGAGCCAAACCATATCATCATCCTTTTTCCAGCATCTGGTTTATTGTGGTGTTTTGACTGGTAGACCTTCATTTTATTCAACAAGCATTTGGGGATGCAGAGTTTTCCCTGATCATCAAACTTGGCTTTTGTTTGCCCTTTGACTAATTCTGATATACTGTTCCTTACCTTGCTCCTAATAATGGACATTATGCTACTGCATAAGTCTCCCTTTATAGCTTCATTTAAAAAGTTAAAATTGCCATAGAAGTACATATATACATGTAAATGAGAGATGTAGAGAACTGGTTAAATCTAAATAAGAACTACAGATTGTAGCAATGTCAATTTCCTGGTTTTAACTTTGTACTATATAAAGATGTCATCATTTGAATAAGCTGGATGACGAATACACAGAACTCTGCACTATTTTTTATAATTTCTGCATCTCCATAATTATTTTTTAAAATCCAAAAATGTAAATAAAAAAGGACTATTTTAATTTCCAAATGTTTATAAGTGTTCCTACTCTTACTCACTCAACATCCCATTTCTGACACCACGTCTAACGGAAAAAGCAAACTGTTCTTTTCTTTCAATTCACTTAAAACAGAACACTTGTGTGACCAAATGAGTGGAGTTTACATCCATCCCAATTCTCCAGGAGACATCACTAGGTATCCTATAAATCACATCTGACACTATCTACTTGAAAGAAGTGTCAGATCCCACAGGTTGAGGACTAAGTCCCATAAAATTGCCCTTCACTTCAGATGCCAATCACAATCACCAGGTTGTGCCCTGTGCTTTTGAACAACTACATTAGAATTGGGGTTCCCACAACCCCCTGGAACTCATTTCTAGAATGAATCACAGAACTCAGAGAAACACTTTGCTTATGTTTACTGTTTAATAATAATATACATCACAAAGGATACAAATGAATAGCCAGATAGAAAAGACACATAGGGCAAGGTATGTGAGAAGAGG